TGTGAAAGGCTTAAATGTGGTAGGTGGACAGGCAGGGAGCTCTTACTCTGATACTTTTTTGCTGTCTTTAGGAAAAAGAGCTGCTGAAACTCTGCCTTGAAAACTAAGTGGTTGAAGGAGGTAAGAGAAGTGACCAGAGAGCTTTCCCTGGGAGCTCTGCTTCCTTCTGGCCTCTGTGATGCCATCACCTTATAAGGATCTTTTGTGATTCTCGCCTTGCTGATAAGTATGTAGGGTTGGAGATGGGTGGGTAAAAGCTATTTAGAGAGTTTTTTAGTTGTCGTTTGCTTGCAGCAATCTTGTGAGGTGTAAGGAGAGGAATTTCACGCATATGCCCTTCGTTTTTCTGTGCAACAGCACAGCCAAGGAGGACAATATAACACGAGGCCTATAAATATCTCCCACGTCCATGTCTTCAGAAGACATAAATGAAGCCCTTGCTGGCGCTTATTTACATGACACGCAATTAACTGGAGAAGAGCCCATTTTAAACCTAGCAACTTGTACAGTGTTTGACAGTAACTACTGACCAGCGAAGGGATCTGTGGAATGGGTATGCCGTGGAGAACGTGTGCTGTACTCGCCAGGGATTTCTCTCCCTTTGGGCAGACAGAAGTTGTTTAAAAGTGTGTTCATCCTGCTTCAAATACTGGCTTTGTTACTCTATATGCAGTGCCCGAAGGAAAACTATGCAGTGACTGACTTGCCTGCACTAGCCTTGAACTTCTTACTATGTCAGGTTTCCAAACTAAGCCTTGTTTTCCCCCACCCTTGCACACACTGGGAAGAGGAGGGAAAGGCTCATAAGCACAAGGAAGGAAAGGGAAAGACCAGAAAATAATAGATGGTGTATTATGACAACTCCACAAAAATAACTTGGATGTTACAGTCAAACTGCTCCTCTGGAATAATTTAATGCTGTCCATGAGCATTTCCAAACACCCATCTGTCAAACTTTTGAAGGACTCGGGACTTCCGAGCCTAGGAAATGGTTAAATAATCTACCATGCCCATTAATTTCCCAAAGCCTAAATGTAGAGTCACCTAATCACTCTTCCCATAGCTTGTCCCTATAAGAGAAACACTGAGATAAACAATAGCAAAGGGGGAAGCTGTCAGTGGTGCAAGAGGTGTAGCATGTTCCAGTGTGAATGCTGGAGAAGCTTGTCCCTGGTTCCTGCTGGACCTGTAGGAACACTGGCACTCTCTGTAAGGTCAAATGCCCCGTAACTCTGCGTTCCCGAAGGTTGCGGTCATATGGACAAAGCATTAAGGCAGAGGAGAGTCAGTTAAAAGAACGGTTTCCAGGCCTAATTCATTGTTGTATGAAGTTTATGTTGGAACTTAGGATGATGGAAAAACTGATTCCAACCTTTTCTGTTTGATTAAATATCCCTCTGAACTCCAGCATTCTGGCTAAATTCCAGCTCACAGAAATAATTGCCTTTTGCTAAACTACACACCTCCTGTGAAATCTTATTCAGGGAACCTGGTGTAATTACTATCCTGCCCTTCAAATAAATAGTTGTACATCACTGTTCATCCAATCTGCCTGTCTTGTTCCACAGCAGGGAGAACCTAATTTCCAAGAAACCCATATATTAGCCCATATAGCACATAGATAGATTTTTCTTCTCTAAACCCTTCCCAGAAAGGAACAGAAAGAGAGAAGACCAAATGCAGTTCCTACTTGTGGGAAGGACCTTTTTGTTCTTCTGACCTTGTGGAAGCTCTTCTGTCTCAGGATGGGTACAGAGGGGCATGAGAGGATCAGAGACACGAGTAATACTGGTTATGTTCACGTGAGAGAATCCCACACCCACAGACATGAGCAAATTAATAGGTTCCTCTGTATAACTTCTTGGGGAAACCTTGTTCAGTGATTGAAGAACTGCTCTTGGAAAAAGGAAGCACTGTTGGACACAGACAATGGCTTTTGAGAGCGCGGCTCCACGAACAGGCAAGCACATACACAGGCTGGAAGGCTGCGTGCAGAGCCTGAAGCCTCTGGGCTTGGGAAACTGCATGCCTGCTGCAGATGTGAGAAACCATACAGGTGGCTGGGATTGCCCAAACAGTCATAATGCTGAAGGGAAATGAAAAAAAATGTGTGTGTTTGCAGCTGCTGGCTGTGGGAAGGAGAACCACATGCACCTTTTCATGGCCATACTGGAAAGACAAGACTTTGTGTATTTTTGTGCAGAGAACCTGAGGTTTGGCATGGGTTTTCTGGTGATGGGGTGTTGTTTTTTGGGGGGTTTTGGGGTTGTTTTTTGCCTTTTTTTTTTTTTTTTTTTTTATTAGATTTCCTGAAGAACTTAGCAAAAGTGAAACATGCTGGATAAGCCTATCTGAATATGGAGGTCTATTTGTAAAGTGCCTGTCTGGAAACATAGCCTCTCGTGTTGCTGTCCTGTTCCCCTCTGTAACAGCGCTGCTTTGACTCCTGCCTTGTTGTTGAACCATAGCGCAATTGTGTTAAGTAACTGCACATTGGTTGCTAAAATGCTCGTGTTGGTTTTTTGACCCCAGCACAACTGGGGAAGTTGCACTCTTGACAGCACAAGTGGTTTCTGAGCAAGTGTTGAAAGAAACCCCCTACGATGCAGCGGCGTTTTGCACGCTTGACCTGTGCCGCTGCCCCTTCTGAGTAAATTCTGCTGAGACATCCCGGAGAGGCTGGCCTGGGGTGCAAGGAGCAGGAGCCTCTGCGCAATGCAGAGCTGTGGCACATCCTGTAGCGCTGGCATGCCCGAGCTGTGGGGGGTGGTGTGACTGCCGCTACCAGCGACACAGAAAACCTCTTGCCTTTTCCTGTTTAACAATAAACCTGGTTTTGTGGTGGTAAAAGCACAACTACGCTCAAGGCTGTGAAAACTAACCTGCTATACATGTGTTTTAACAACAGGCTAGTGGTTTGGTTTGTGAACCTGTCAAAAGCCTCTGTGTCCTGAAAGACATTTAATACTATTGCAATGAATTTTTGGCATGCCTGAGCACCTTGCTGGTGTATGCTGGAAAAAGACTAACAGACCTCACCTTCTTCCATCCCCTCTGAGATGGGAAGAAGAACCAGCAATCTGCTTTTTCAGAAGTGTTAAATTTCAGCATGACATGACTGACACAAGCAATGCACTGTACAAGCAGCCATCAGAAAATCATCCCTGCACAGAGGTAGGGCTGATTTGGGGTTCTCTGTTCAGCCTTAACCTAGAATCAGACTGATGCAAATTCCACAGAGAGACCTGGACAGCATTAGCAGACGTGCATGCTGTAATGATGGCTAAACTGGGGATTACTAGGTGGTTGAACTGGAGTGACACAGTCTGCTGAGTCCTCTAAATTTGCATTGATTGCCTCTTGCTCCCCACCCTATCATTTCCTCTCCCCTCTCTCATCCTGTACAAATGCTAAATGGAAACTCGGCCAACCCTTTACTGCTCACACCCTTTCTGAGTGCTTCCCTAACTGCACTCACTGCCTTATTCCATGCATCTCACTGTCGTGCTCTGGGGATAATGAACACTGTAGCGAACATTTAAAGAAAAAGCAATGAAAACAGAAGTAAAATTAGAGCCAGCAAAATATAAGACTAAGGGTTTTTTTGTGTCATTCCCAGATCTTGATAAATCTGTAGCATTCATCCTGACAGTCACAGATGAGAAACTCTTCCAATGTACGCCTTTTCCTAATGAAGCGTTTATTTGGTTGTTACCTCACCCCTACACTGAGCAAGGTGAATTGTAGGTACAATTCCCCTTGCTTCAGCAGGTATCGAAGCTGTGATTAGACTGCCTGAAGAGAAGGGAGATGTTGCAGATGTCAACCAGTCCTTCAGCAGTGCACACCCGAGTCAGCAGGGCTGATTGGTACGTGCACATTTGGGAATGTGCTAAGGATGGTTTCTTCATTCTGCTGCATGTAGAAACAAGCTTTTTTTTTTTCCTCCCCCCTCCCCCCTTTCATTTTGCTATGTAAAGAAATAGACAGATCTGGCCTTTCTTTTTTAATAATGTTTTAGGACCAGGGTACAAAAAAGGTTAATGCATTAATTTTTAAGACAAGTGATAAATGTACTGCAATAAGCACATCCTACATACACAGAATATATTTCTCTATATAATATGAACACAGAGATATAAAATAAGTTATACTTGTCTTGGTTTTCCATCACAGTAGGAGCTCAGCTTATATAAAGTGACAACAGGAATTGGAACAACACGCTGCTCCAAAGCAACAACAAAAAACCAGAAGAGTGCCTGCATCTGTGTGTGTGTGTTTGGGAAACAAAATAGGAAACTGAGGGATTTCTGCCAAAATCAAGTCTTGAAAACAAAGGTTTCATAGAGTGTGAAAGTGGTGGAGTCTCTCAGCTCAGGGTAGAGGTTCTGGAGGTGCTCAAGTGATACTGTCTGTGAGGAGGAGGGTGGGTGAAGACTGTCAACAACTTCACTGTATTTACGGGGGCACAGGCAATAGAGCAAGCTCTGCCTACTGCGCCGCTGTGTTCTCTGCTCTTACAACGGATTGTCTGCCTGACAGTGCGGGGTTCTGATCTTTACAGTAAGAATGGGACCTCGCAGCTTTCACTGTGCACGATGAGAATAAACATCACTTCACAGGAATGATAAACACCACTACTGGTCAAAGAGAAAACACTATCCACCGGTTGTGAAATGTTCAATGAGCCTGGGAGTGGTGTTCTTCCCTTCCAACACACCTGATGTCTGACTCTAGTGCCCCCATCTATTTCCCCTGGGGGAGAGAGGGTGGTTCTCCTGGCCATGCCTGAAGAACAAATCTCCCCTGGGGTCTGAATGGGAGGTAGAGGTGATTAGGAATTCTTTACTGCCCGTCCCACAGCAAACAATGAGGAACTCCAGCTGTCCAGTTGAAAGCTGTTTCAGATTTTATTCGGATTTTTTCTTCTTTAAGGATAGGGAAACACTTGTAAAATGTGCATCTAACAGTGAATCAGGGTTTCTAAGATTCTTAACTTTGGGGTTTAGTATCTAGTATTTTAGTGCGGGCTTACGTTAATTAGGAAGTGCTCTTTAGTTTGGCCAATAGCTTGGAGACCTTGTGGTTTCCTCTTTGTTATCAAGATCTATCTCCTGAAGTTTGTGAGACTACTAAACTGCAGAAGGTGCAGCCAAAGCTCAGGAGTGATACTGGCAGTTAGCAGATTTCTACTAGTGTCTATTTCACTCTTGCAGCCCACTTCAGTTTTTCTTCTACTCCCACTTATCAGATTCTGCTAGTCTCAACACCTTTTCTTTACCTTCATATTTACAGACTACACATTAGAAAGCAGGGACATTACACTGGAAGAGTTAATTGCATGTTATCATGAAGAAGGTGGACTTTTTTGTTCTGCTTTAGGTTTTTTGTTTTCTTCATACAGTAAAATAGATATAAATCCAAAGGCGATCTCACATCTAAAGGTATAATTTAAGTAAACATGTTTTTCTAGATCTTTTTTCCCCCTTCCCTTTCCCTCTGCCCTGTAACCTTTCTTTTACTCTGTTATTTTCCTTTTGGATGGAGGGAGGAGATGGGAAGGGAGCTCGTTTGGCAGCTCATGACCCTCCAACTTGACTTTAATGAGATGATTCGCCAAGGCAAACTCCTCATCATCCAGCATGCCATCTTTGTCGATGTCAGCCAGTTTCCATATCTTGCCCAGCACCGTGTTGGGCAGCTTAGACCTTACCATCTCCTTCTTTGCATTGGCACCAGTTATTTTACCATCGACAGGCGAGAGGGTGTAGAAGATCTCATCGTACATGGGCTTGTCCCTGGCCACCACCCACTCAGCATCATCAATTCCTTCCCCGGCGCCTTCGCCATAGCCATGGCCGAACGGACCATGCAAGGTGCCCTCGAAGGCTCCGCCCTTCACCATCTGGGTCGGCCGCTGTGACTCTTCCTGGCGTACGAGCACCATGAGCTGGGCGATGTCATTGGCCAGCATATCTTCCACAGTCTCCAGCAGCTTGCTCTTCAGAGGCTGGAACTTGCTAAAATCCTGGGATTGCAACTGATCCTTGAAAGTGGGACAACATAGCAAGAGGTGAGCGACATAGCTGTGTACAGTGCAGTCACAGGGCAAGGTGAGATGCCTGCCTGCTGTCTGGCTCAAGAAACCTGGCGGAGTGGGCAGCTCAGCATCCTCCGATAGCCCTGCTCCTTAGCATGTTGATGTCTCCCTGGCTGGCCTTGCTCTTACTTAAATCCTCTTTAAATTCTTCACAAAACTATCCTCTCAGCTTACAAAGCAGGCCAGACACGGCACCGAGAAAGGAAGTGGTTTACTCCAAGGCCCAGATGATGGCCATATGCAAATAAGACTTCTCCTTCCCAAACCAGGTAGAAGCAATCTCCTTGAAGACTAAATTGCTCAAGGCAAACTGGTTGTGCAGCTCTTGCTACATCCTCAAGCAAGTGTTCTGTATTCCCTCCCCCTCCGCATACGGGAAGGAGATGCTGCTCTGGCAAAAGACTACGTTACTCATCATCATGCAGCGCATCTGTTGGATGCTATAAAGACAGTTGCATGTCTGTAAAGAGGTGAGCGTATCTTTACAGCATGGCTCAGTTTCTGTAATTTTCACACCTAAACAAAAGTGCTTTGAGCAGGGCCTGCAGATAACATAAACACTCCAAAATGACCTACAGATTTATCTTTCACCCTCATTAAATCCACACTATTCACTCCTACTGGATCGGTATAGTTATTTTTAGACATCTAACCACACATTTTAACAAACAAGTGAATGGAATCTTCTATTGGATATTCTTCATAGATCTTACTCCTAAAAACTTATGGAAAATATACCTTTAAAAAACCCCCACAAAACAGATGCTGAGTTTTCCAGAGGGAACTAGTAATGACTTCAACATCTAGGAACTCAGAACAGGTTTCTGCTTGGACTGAAGCCACACAGCAATGCAGCAGTGTCCAGCATTGTTTGAATATACAATACAAGGCTCTGAGCCAAGGTCCTTTTAAGTATTTGACTTACATGAACATTGGGTCAGGTCTCAGCACTGCAGAACAGAAAACCTGTTTCTCTGCTTAAGAGAGAAAAGGGGCTTAAATTTTCAGAGCCTCCTTCCTCTCTTTTTAGAAAGAGTGAAGAAGATAAAAAAAAATACAGCTCTTGAAGAGACAGGCATATGTAGGCTTTTCAGGATATAGCTTTCCTTTTAATATAAATTAGCAGTATTCTTAGGCCTGAAAAACCTGCCAATGGAAGCTGGAGTTAAAAGTAAAAATAGAAGAAATAATTTGCTGTAAAGGCAAAGATTTGAGAAATTGAAGGCAGTTGTAGCTTCCCATGAACGCTGTGTGCAAACAGTGTTCACGTCAAAATATACCCTGCACATATTTCAAGACCCATTTCAATGTTACAAGAGACCTTTCCCCCAAGAAACACTAATCAATGTGTGTGTAGCTTCTGTTGTGTTTCCTGCAGTTACTTTGATGTTTTCCCTTGGATGTTTGGTGCTCTGGCCAAGATGCCACTGCTTACCTGCATCTTTCTCAGATTAGGGAAGTCTCCTGGTGAGATCTGATGCTCCCGTTCAATTCGGGCATAAATCTCTCCCAAGTTGTTAACAAGCTCCTTCTTTTTATTGTCTTTCCCAAACATGGAGGGCATTTCCTTCTTTAGGGAACTGATGATGTAGGCATGGACCTGAAGGGCATTAAATGACATGGAATGAAAAAGACAAATGTTAAGAGCACATCAGAAAATTCTTCCTAACAGAGAGTATCTGTGTCTAGGATTCAACCCTATCTTGTCTCACCCTGGAGAGCAAACTCAGCTTTTCATCTCAGCTGTACCTACTGATTGCTGCTCCAGTGCTAAGAGCCACTCAGCTCTGCACTCTGCCTGTGCGGAGACAAGGTGAGGACAGTGTGTGAGTCCAGGATGTACAAAGAGTAACATTCATATGCACTTGCCAGAGGGAGTGCTGTGGTGTTTTTTCTTTCACTGGGCATGGCCTTTCAGGGAATAGTCTCTTTCCAGTCCAAACCAAACATACAGGTTTTGGAGCTCTCTAGACTTTCTTTAATGTTTTAATATGAATACTAGTCCTCAACTTATGTGACATTCTGGCATTTTTTTTTTCCAATGGTAGACCAAGCATTTTCTCCTTGACATGAAGACTCTTGCACAGAAAGCTTCTCAGGGATCAGAAATCTCTCTTCCTAATTAATACCTTCCCTGTATTCTGAGGGGCTTCATTCAGCCCATTTCAAATACTCAGAGATACAGAAGGTTTACTTGTCATTCCGGTGAGCCTCCACCTCCTCTGCATCCATCTAAGCCATGCATGTCTCTTGACTAAAAATGTTTAAGGCAAAAGACCTAGAGCTTACCCATTCCCTTGGTGTGTGATTCTGACATACTGAATTGGTCCTAATTCTCAAGTTGCTACCACAGAGCAATTGCTTTTCAGATCCCTTCAAGTGCTACCCGCTTTGATCTGTGGTTATCTTCCTCACTCTGGCCTGTCATGACTGACATACCAATCAAAGGAAGTGCTTGCTTTCTTGAAGTGCACAGGACTAACATGCTGGGCCTGAGTGAAACGGGATGGGAAAAGAGTAGAATCCACCACCTCTGCAAGCCAAACTGGCTGAAACCACTTCCCCATAGCCTGCGTACTGCAGATGGCCCAAACTGAATAGTTGTGGGTTCTATGCCAACACTCACCTTGGCCAGCCGTGCTCGCTTGATGAGATCATTCAGCTTCCTCAGGGCTGCGTTGCGGGGCAGGCTCTGGATATCCCTGAACAGGTCCTGCTCCTCTGCCTCAAACAACTTGCGGTTGTCGGGGATGAGCAACTGATGAGACCAGAAGGAGCCAATGTAGACCCTGATGACCTCAGGAGTGTTGACGATCTTTCCCAGGGACCACATGAGGGCACCGTACACCCGCATCAGCTGTTGAGTCTCTATCTGGTCAGCCTTGTTGAGAACAACTCTCATCTTGTCCTCGTGGTTCTTTAGGGCCTTGATGACCTCAGAGAATTCATCAGAGATGTCCAGCTTGTGAGCATCAAAAAGGAGAATGATGCGGTCTACCCGCTCTGCAAACCACTCCAGTACAGCAGCAAAGTCGTAACCTGCAGGGGGTGGAAGAAAAGCAGAGATGGACAAGCATGGGAGTAGAGAAGCCTACTTCCTGCACCTGAACTGTGCTGGCTGAAGATGACCTTGCAAAGAGGAAGCTTCCCCAATAGCTCAGGTAGCTTTGATAAAGGAAATATGAAACATCATTCCTTGTTCCAAAGAAGGTGGAGATGAGGCACTGTGCCTCACACTGAAATGCCCAAGATGTGCATAGTTAAGGATAGCTCTCGTCTTCACATTAAGAGATCACCTAGAGAAGTTCTGAACTTGTGCTACAGACACTTCATTCAAATGCCCAGAATGGGGAAACCAGTAGTGCAAAACAGCTAGTGCAAAAGTCTTGCATGTGGCAACAAGAAAGGTTTAGTTTCTGAATTACTGGCCATCAGCATATCCTACAAAGGCTGCAGAAAGCTGCATAATTGCAGTACTTGCACCCAGACTGGTTTGAGATGCATATCTCTACTGCTTAATAACTCTCAAATCTCTCCCCTTCCAATTCAAAACCCAGGATGCAAATAACCTGCCTTACCTAAGTAATCATCCTGTCGTACCTGCTGCATATGCAGCAAGCAAAATGACTTGTGTTTACTTTAAGTACTGAATGCTTAGAAGAGAACAATGCTGTGAACACCAGAGATGGACTATGAGCTATGAACACTGGGTTAAAATTTCACATGCCTTAGAACTAAGGATGAGGGATGCAGAGCACACATCTAGGCAATACAGGGCATGATAAATACCACTTGTGGAGATGTTTTTTCAACAACAGCAACGACAGTAACCAAATGACCTCCTTTCCTAGCTCTGTGGTGTTTTTTCACCTTCTTTAAAGCCTCACTGAGAGACTGGTGCTCTCCTGTGATGTGCAACATTTGGGGTTATCTGTGTTGCCAGAGTGCTGTACTCTGTTAAGAGAGATCAGGACAGAGCATATGCTATTTGCATTCAAATCTTTAAACGTGCTATTTTAATCTTGGCTTTCATGAATAAATGTATGATAATTAGTTCAGTGCTTTTTTCACCCCATTTTTTTCTTTCTTTCCTTCTGTCCTCTCCAAAAACCTAGAGGGCAACCAGTGCATCTTAGTCATTAGATCACAACTACAGAAAGGAGGACTGCTAGGCTCTGATCTTGCTTTTTGCCATTGGCCTTTTCTCTCTTGTGACTAAGCAAACTGGGGTGAAATACTGGCTCTCAAGTCAGGAGTAAAGCCTGGGTGAACTGTCTCTTCAACTAGATAAATTGGTATTATCTGTTTGCCACCGAGAACTTTTATGTAACTGGAAAGTATTATTACTAGGTGGTGTTTTGCTATGGTCAATCATAGTTTGCTCCTTATAAGAAAAGCTGAAGGGAGGGAAGTTGCTCTTAGATGTGGACAGCTTGTCCTGCTCTCTTCCGTGGGATCTAGAGAAATCATAGATAGAAGAGAGATGTTTGCCCCACCAGTGGCCTTCTGTTCACTCAGGACACTGGTGCCTTCTCTAGCAGCAAGCAATGCCAGGTGATGCCTTTTTCCTCAGCTATGTTTGATGCCAAGAACTTCAGAGGATTCAGAATTAGTATTACCTTTTGACGGATACCTGCTGAGCATTCAATATATTATATTGACATCCGTGTATCTTGCCCAGTCCGCATGTCTGACCTTGGCAACGATCACAAGTCAGACCTTCTTAGAATTGAAATAAACTTAATCCTGCTTGCTTTCAGATATTAACAGCCTTTTAACCTTAGATGTTCTCACTGTAGGGAGCTCACCTCCACAGGTCTAACGGTGTACCTTCTGTAGATCTATGTATGCTGACTCCTTCATAAATTGTGCTCAGAGGCACTGGCAGTGGGACAAAGTCAATGCTGATCCCTTGTTTCACGTGGACTGGGTTCAGGCTGTCCCTCTGCAAGCAGATCATTCAATTTGCAAATGAGC